TTATTAATAATATATTTGAGTAGTACATTTCTTTTTTACAATTGTTAATAAGGAATTATTTACAAAAACAGGTTGTACAGAATAAATAACTCTGTTTTGTGTGTGAAATCACGCAAAATAAATTAGATGAGCATGGTGAGAGATTCTAAAATATACTAATTTTAGCTGACGAGACACTATAAATACTTGTAAGATTTCGTTAGCTCCTTCCAAATGAAAATATAAGATGAATTCAGCACCTTTGAAATGAAAATATAATATGAATCATTTTATTACTGGGCCAATTTATCACACAAATAATATACTCCCTTTAAAACTGCAATACCTATAATTTACACTGAAGCAACACTACTGCATTAGTCATACAAACTTTTAAAGTAGAGTGTGAAGGTATTTTAAAATTCATCTTTTAAAAATTGCCTTCATTCCCTAAGTGTTCCCTTATTACGGAATAAAGCTGGTTAAACTGTAGATTCTTTTATTCCATTACCTTCCTGGTACCTATGAGGACCACCTTTTCTGGGGTGAAGGAAACCATCATTTCATTTTCTATGCTAATAGATATGACAAACAGTACCTCTAATGATGTCACAGATACCAATAGCTTCATACGTTAAACAATGTAAAGAAAGACTCAGAGCATTACGTTTGTGGCAAAAATCAAGTACAATGTTATTACATTTAAACAATGTAATCATAGGCAAGAAAGCATTAATTTTAGAGAGAAAACACAGCGATATTTTTTATACAGCATAGAATACATCGAACCTACTTATAATAGCCAAAACCTGAAAATGGCACAAAATTCCATTAACAGGTGAATGGATAAACAATACGTAATGTGTCCACATATTGGAATACAAGTCAAAAATAAAAAGAAATGAACTTTCTACAAAATACTTGACCAGTATTCTTCAAAACAGTAAAGGTCACAAAAATCAAGGAAAAACTGAGAATTGCCAGAGATCAGAGGAGACTAATGAGACATGAGGACTAAATGTAATGAGGTAACCTAGACTGGATTCTGGCCCATTAAAAAAAACAAGTAAAAAAACGACGAATTCCAAGTAAAGTCTATGGTTTAGTCATTAGTGTCGTATAAATGTTCAAAGATAGGAAGAAACTTTTGGGGATGATGAATATATGCATTATCTTGACTGTGATGATGATTTCGTGAGTACGTGTATATGTCAAGTCTTACCAAATTTTACTTTTTAAATAAGTACATTTTATTATGTCAATTATACCTTAATAAAGCTGTTTTAAAAATTAAAAAAAAAAAAAAAAAAAGAACCATACCTTACTGGCACAACTCTTGCACCTGCAGACTCCAGATACTTTACATAGGATGCAGCAATATAGTATCTTCCAAGGTTTCTCATGACTTTATTACGGCATTTTTGCATTAATATTCCTAAACAACCAAAAGAAGTTTTAGTTTCAAGCAAATTCCTTTTCTTCTTGTTCAGAAAATAAAACACAACACGATAAAAATATCCTATTTTATTCTTTCAATTCACAGAATTAAACAGGAAGCTTCTCCTACAAGCCCATCTGTAGACTTTGGCAAAGGAGTGACAGAAGCTGATGTGAGTTTCCAGTAACCTCTCCCATCAGGAGGGCCAGATAAGCCCCCAGAGCAGGTTTACAACTGTACCAGCAACCGTCACACAACCTCAGACCTAGAATCCATCTCAAGGGTACAAATCCTTAACCTATTAATACAAGGAGCCCACTCCCTTCCCACAACATTCACAGACACATGGATTCCTTGACAACAAAGCAAAAGCATGAAAATCTATCCACATCTGTCTAACATCACCAACACCACCTTAATCTAAGCAACCAATATCTTACCTCTCCCCACCAGACTAATAGGTTCTTAAAAGGTTTTTCCATATCGTTTCCTAAGAATCCCCCCAGCTCCAACCAGTTCTCCACATGGAAGCAAATCTGATCATATAACCATTCCTTCATTTATTCCACATACGAGGGCTGTCCAGAAAGCATCCAGCCACTGTTAATACATTAGGTTGGTCCAAAAGTAACTGCGGTTTTAGCATTGCTGATATTTGCCGTTTGATGTTGGAATACATTCTTAAACAAATGTGGTTATGTTATACATCATTTTAATGCACATTTCTTGCTTTACGTTTTTTTACTAATGACTTATTACTTGCTGTTTATGTTATATTTATTTTAGACTGTGGAAATGACGTTAGACAAAAAGCAAATTCAGGCAATTTTCTTATTCGAGTTCAAAATGGGTCGTAAAGCAGCAGAGACAACTCACAACATCAACAAAGCATTTGGCCCAGGATCTGCTAAGGAACGTACGTGCAGTGGTGGTTCAAGTAGTTTTGCAAGGGAGACAAGAGTCTTGAAGATGAGGAATGCAGTGGCCAGCCATCAGAAGTTGACAACGACTAATTGAGAGCAATCATTGAAGCTGATCCTCTTACCACTACATGAGAAGTTGCCAAAGAACTCAGTGTCGATCATTCTATGGTCATTCGGCATTTGAAGCAACTTGGAAAGGTGAAAAAGCTCGATAAGTGGGTGCCTCCTGAGCTGACCAAAACCAAAAATAAAAAAAATCGTCGTTTTGAAGTGTTTTCTCTTCTTGTATGCAACAAAAACGAACCATCTCTATGTTGGATTGTGACGTGCAATGAAAAGTGGATTTTATATGACAACCAGCAACAACCAGCTCAGTGGTTGGACTGAGAGGAAGCTCCAAAGCACTTCCCAAAGCCAAACTTGCACCAAAAAAGGTCACAGTCACTGTTTGGTGGTCTGCTGCTGATATGATCCACTACAGCTTTCCGAATCCTGGCAAAACCATTCCATCTGAGAAGTACGCTCAGCGAATTGATGAGATGCACCCCAAACTGCAACACCTGCAGCTGGCATTGGTCAACAGAAAGGGCCCAATTCTCCACGACAACGCCCGATCACATGGTCACACAACTAACACTTCAAAAGTTGGAACGAATTGGGCTACGAAATTTTGCCTCATCCACCATATTCACCTGACCTCTCACCAACCAACTACCACTTCTTGAAGCAATTTGACAACTTTTTGCAGGGAAAATGCTTCCACAACCAGCAGGATGCATAAAACGCTTTCCAAGAGTTCATCGAATCCCAGAGCGTGGATTTTTTATGCTGTAGGAATAAACAAACTTATTTCTCGTTGGCAAAAATGTGTTGATTGTAATGGTTCCTATTTTGATTAATAAAGATGTGTTTGAGCCTAGTTTTGACCGTTTAAAATTCATAGTCTGAAACCACAATTACTTTTGCACCAACCTAACAATAAAATATAATGTGGCTGGATACTTTCCGGACAGCCCTCATATACTGAATGAATCATACTATATACCAGGCAATGAACTAGGTGCTGGGGACGTACATGAGTGAACAATAACAAAAATCCCTGCCCTATGGGCATTAATTCTAGTAAGAGGGAGGGGAGAGAGGACAAACAATAAACAAGATAAAAAGGTGCAATCTATAGTGTGACAGCTGGTGGTTGGTGGTAAGGAGAAAAAGTAAAGCAAAGGAAGGTGATGGGGGTGGGGGTAGAGGGTCCTTATGGAGAAGAGGGGAGTCTCTTAAATAGGGTGGCCAGGCAAGTCCTCCCCAAGAAGGAAGAATGTGAGATTTGAGCTAGGAATTCAGAGGGGTGAGGGAGTTAAGTAATATTCAGATATCTAAGGGAAAAGTGATCCAGGACAAGGGAACAAGTGCAAAGGTCAAACCACCCTTCAATAATAGGGTGCAAGGCGAGAACTATGGTAAGGGCCTAGCTAAAAATGATAATAATTATTAACTGTCCCCGTTTGTTTCTCTATAATTCCTCTCCAGAGTGGTCATAAAGATTCTTAACTTCTCCCCATAGCTGGTGTCCATAAAGATTGTTAACTTTCTCCATGGAAAACATCACCTTTTTGAAGCCTAAAGGTAGTCTTTAAGATATCTTCCAGGCCCTACATTCCAGTGGATTGATTGACCCGCCCAGAACAGCGGCCTATACCAAGAAACCAACTCAACTGGAATTGTGACCCCAGGGACTGAAACAACACAAGAATATGATTCCTACACCCCTATAATTTTGCCTCAATTAACAAACCTAATTGCCTAATCCCTTGCCACCAAACTATCCTTAAAAACCCTGTCTCCCAAGTTCTCAGGGAGGCGGATTTGAGAAATTTCTCCCGTCTCCCCGCCTAGCGCTATGCAGAATAAAGATTCTTTCTCTGCTGTAAAACCTGCTGACTCAGTGTACTGGCTCCTACTTGGGCAGCAGGCGCGGCAACAAAGGCCATGAGTCAGGTGTGTGCCTGTCACATTGCAAGGAGTCCATATGACTAGAGCCCTGTGAGCAAAAGGAGAAGCCATGGGAAATGAGATCAGAGAGATACAGATCAGCAGGGGTCACCTGGCTTAAGCACCTCAGTGAGCTTCAGAACTCTGTAAGACCCTGTGTGCTCTGTGGCACTTACCTTTCTGGCCTCCTTTTACTACTGAAACCCCAGCCCCCCACATGGTACTGGCATCCAGTATACATGGAAGCCTGTCTGTCCAGTGAGTACCTGTGCCTATTATCACTCAGTATTTCACCATTTGGAGCACTTTCAATGTCTCTGTAAGCCACTCAACAGGAAGAGCTGTTGTCTGTATTAGTCACTTCTGTATTCCCAACTTCTAACAATAATTGGCATTTATCAGGTACTCAGGTAACACACGTCAAAGGCCAAAATTTGTTCAGTGCGACTGTTTTTCTCCTGACTGGTAGGTAAGATTGTCTTCACTAAGGAAAACGAAATTTGGCTAGGGAAAGAATAATAGAAAATTAAGTGGTACAAGGCAGACAGGGGTAAGGTGAGACAAAGGGGGACATGGAGCATCATGGAAGCATAAGGTACCAGAAACAGAGAAGCACATCAGAGTAAGTCCCACCAATATCTCCCTCTCCCTGCCCCACACATACTCACTTTTCCCATCCCTGGGTAAAGAGCTCAGGCTGTACCCCCTGTCCCTTGAAATGTGACCAAAATTCTACCCATATTTTAAGGCTACTTATTTATTTATTTGAGACAAAGTATCACTCTACTGCCCAGGCTGGAGTGCAGTAGCATCATCATAGCTCACTGCAACCTCAAATTCCTGGATTCAAGTAATCCTCCTGCCTCTGCCTCCCCAATAGCTGAGACTACAGGCACACGCGACCACACTCAGCTAATTTTTCTATTTTTTTGTAGAGATGAGGTCTCACTATGTTGCTCAGGCTAGTCTCAAACTTCTGGCCTCAAGCGATCCTCCCTCCCCCACCTCCCAAAGTGCTGGGATCACATGCATGAGCCACCACGCCCTGCCTGGTCCATCTAACAACTTCCGTGACTTCCTTGTCTTTGAATCCTTTGCACTTCCCTAGAGCAATGCCTTGCACACAGTAGGTGCCCCATTAACTATTTTGTCTTAATTGATCAGAGTGATCAAAAGCACATTTCTATTTTCTTATTTGACCCAAGGCTATCCCTGATTCTAGGAAAGGAAAAAGAATCCTCTCTCTTCTTTCCTTTTTCTCCTCCTCTCTGGACCCACAATATACAAGTCATTACCTATAATTACATTTTGAATTAATTCTTCTTGGAGGATCTAACCACCATTTTAAATACCTATGAAATAAGTTCCAAAGTTCCAATTAGTAAGCAACCCATTAGAAAATTGGGCACTATCCATATATTTGTAAAAACATTCACCTATTTTCCACAGAGGTTACAGAACATAGTGCTTATCTTTGTAGAAGAAAATAAAACCAACCTTAATTGTCCACACATAAATTTCTTTTGGCAAATTTTAACCCCAGGATGATTTCTTTTATGTAGCTTTCCCTGGCCCTGTCTCAAATGTCTGTTCCAGTGATGCAAACAGATTTTACTCTCTTTTTAAAACACGAATGTGTTGGAAATGAAAAATTACATGCCTCATTTTAACACCAAATAGAACTGACATGAGAATATTAGCCACTGCTGCTCTCCACTACTGAAGCTGACAACGTTCAAGGTATACCTTAATTTGGTGATTTTATATTATAATGCACCGTATCTTGAAATATTCCCTCAGCCAGGAAAATTTTAACATAATGCATGTACAAAATTCGTAGATGCAAAATTAGTAAAAAAAATCCCTAGCTATATGCAAAAAAGAAAATGAAAAATTTTAGTAGAGATTCCTAGCTATGTCCAACAAAGAAAATCCGCAGGATTCTTCACTGTGCCCCCTCCTCCCTCCCAACTTTGCGAGCCATTTGAGTCTAAGGAAACCAAACGAGGCATCTGGTACATGTCAGTACGATGCAAATGGTCTAGCCCGGTTTCTCACTCGTATTACAACGAAGGTACATATGGAAACCTTGCACTTGGGGGGTTTCCAGGGGAGACGTGTTAGCAGCAGCCCAGCTGCTGGAGGCGCCCAGCGCCGACACCCAGCCCCTCCCCCGCGGCTGTGCCCACCCCGCCCCGCACCTCCGCACAGCCTTCTTACCAATGATGGGCTTCTTGGCCGTGTCGCCGAAGGTTCCGGACAGCCCCGAGCTCTCCGCGCCGCAGAGGAGCAGGGCCAGCACGCACAGCAGACGGCTCGGGCTCGCCATGGTGCTCGCCGCCTCCCGCCGCCTTTCAAAGGCACTGCGGCCAGCCGCGCGGGCGGAGGCGGCCTCTGGGCCGGGCAGCCGGGTGGGCTCGGGCGGACGCGCTCCGCCGCGCGGGCCTATGGGAAACGTAGTCCCGGCGGGCGCGCGCGACGGCCGCGGGGTCCGGGTGGGCGGGTCCGGGAGCGCAGCCGCCGCGCCCGCCCCATCGTCCGCCCCGCGCTCCGCGACCCGCGACCCCGCGAGACTGGCGCGCCACCTGGCCACCTCTGCCGGGACTCTGGAAACGGCTGGGTCGGGCACCCAGTGGTCCCCGCGTGCTCTCAGCAGTGGGTGGTCCCGTGTCCTTCCCTTTCGACTGTTACGTTGGTGGAGCCTTAAGTCACCTGGACGAAGCTGCGGCGGCCAGGCCAGGCCAGCTCTTGGAGGGGGAAGCTGTGGGTCCCGCCTGTCCGAATGTGGTAACCTAGCAGCGAGGGAGGCTGGCCAGGGGTTCTAGAAGTTGCCCGAGAACTTTGCGCCAACTGTACTCCTTAAAAGGTCAGGGGCTTGTCTCTACAAATGCTGACAGCCGAGTTTGACACTCCAGCATTCAATGTAAGGACAGCCGGTGACTCCAGAGGTAATTTCCGTATCTTGCTATTTTGGGGATCCAGGCATCTGGAGGAAGTGAAGAAGAGGGGAGGACGGTTTTTTTGGACACATTTACAGGCGTGTCATCTAACTTCAGAACTGGATTAAGGAGGGGCCAACTCCTGGCATCTACTGCAAAGGGGCAACTCCAGGCAAACCATATTAGCCTAATCCTAATAAACTTCACAGTCAGCACCAACCAACCACCCACACATTGTCCTATAAGCAGGGGCAGAAGTGATGACTTTGGTTCCTATTCATTAAAAGTTATTTTGAGGGTTCCTAAATAGATGGATATGTAGCTTGTACTAGGTGGAAGTTCCCACCTGTAAGGGCCAAGTTAAATTCACAATAAAACAAGAATATTTGAAAACCTATTTCATCAATGCTGAGTATAAAGGGTGAAAAGTTACACTGGGTGATGTCTTTTTCATGAAAGCTTTTCAATTTAGGAAGGAAAAAAGGCAGAGGACATGACTTGTGGAGCAGAGTTTTGGCATATTTCAAGAAGAGTGAATGCAAAAAGTAGTCTGGTTTAACAAGAAAGTTATGCTACTGTAAAAGGGTATGGTGAGAAATACTCCCCAAAGGATGTGATGAAAGATACTGTGAAAGCGTCGAGCTGGTTTTGAGCATAGATGAACAGATAAGGAGCCATTATAAATACAAACCTGTGGTGCTGGAACAATTGACTATCCACATAGGAAACAATTAAATTTTTACCTGGCATTGTGCACAAAAGCTCCAGGTGAAGTGAAGATATAAATATGAAAGGCAAAATATTATACTTTGACAAGAAAATATAGGAGCATAACCTTGGTGGTTGGAAAGGTTTCATAAAACAGTGTGTAAAACATACAAATGTTAATTAAAAAATTGATAGATTTGGCTATGTTAAAATTTAAAAATGTCCATATACCTTTAAGCAAATTAAAGTTAAGGCACAAACTTGGAAAATATAAATTACAGAATTGTTAAAATATTCATTCCTAGAATATACAAAGAAATAAGAACAACATGATAGAAAAATGGGAAAAGAATATGAAATGCAAACCAAACTTTCTCTAGTCATTAGAGAAATGCAAGTTAGTATAAGGTAATATGTCACATCCATTAGACTGTATAGGGAAACAGCCTGTTGGGTGGCAAGAGTGATGCCATCTTAAAGGGAATCCACAGTGATGACTGATGTTTGACCCCTGCATACAAAGGTGTTCTGCAGCAAGTTCTTTAAATAACGCCTGTAGCAAACATCACCCCATATTAAGATCCTTATCTAAACTCCCCAGTGGTCATGAGTTTCTATCAGATAGTCTGAGATGTGACCAATTGCACATGTCTTTATGCTAAAAGCTTGCTATATAAAGGATGCTTTCTGGAGGGCAGATGCAGTGATCCACCATCTCATGGCCACCTAAAACATCGCTTCTGTTCCTAAGTCCCTACTAAGTGTTTCTTTCTGAGAAACTGGATTTGGCAGCCTCTTTTTTCGGCCTTTCAGCTCGCTGGGCCTTTGGGGGCAGGTTTGCCTATACCTGCTCACCTCAGAACAGTTGACAAAAGTTTAAGCCTTTAATAATAAGTCAAGGGTGTAGTGAAATGAAAATTCTGCAACACTGCAGGTAGAATTGCAATTATTACAACTGTTTTTCAGAGCAGTTAGGCAATATCTGATAAAGGTGAAGATCCATGTATTCTGTAAAACAGTGCTTTCCAGATAAAAGTATATACCCTAGAGAAATGTGCACATGTGAACAAAGAAATATGTACAAGTCTGTTGTTCAGAGCATTTTTTTATAATAGTAAAATATTTAATGTAAATGTCCAATGTCATGAAGCTTTTCCCCTATGTTTTCTTCTAATAGTTTTATAGATATGGGTCTTGTATTTAAGTATTTAATTCACTTTGAGTTGATTTTTGTATATGGTGAGAGATAGGGATCTAATTTTATTCTACTGCATGTGGATATACGGCTTTCCCATCACTATTTATTGAAGAGACCTCCCTTTCCCCATGTGTGTTCTTGGCACCTTTGTCAAAATCAGTTGACAGTAAATGCATGGTTTTATTTCTGGGTTTTCTATCCTGTTGCATTGCCCAGTGTGTCTGTTTTTATGCCAGTACCATACTGTTTTTATTATAATTATTTTATAATATGTTTTAAAATCAGGGAGTGTGATACTTGAAACTTAGTTCTTTTTGCTCAAGATTGTTTTGGCTATTTGGGGTCTTTTGATTCCATACAAGTTTAAGAATTATTTTTTCCATTTCTGTGAAAAATGACGTGGACATTTTGATAGGGTTTGCACTGAATCTGTAGATCACTGTGGGTAGTATGGACAGTTTCACAATATTCTTCCAATCCATGAACATAGGATATCTTTCCACTTATTTATTTCCTTCATTTTCTTTCATAAGTGTTTTACAGTTTTCAGTATACAGATCTTTTACCTCCTTGTTAAATTTACTCCTAGGTATTCAGATATTTTGTTGCTTTTGTAAATAGAATTGTTTTCTTAATTTCTTTTTCCTAGGGTTTGTTATTAATATATAGAAATGCATCGACATTTATATGTTGATTTTCTATTTTGCAGCTTTATTGAATTCATTTATCAGTTCCAATAGTTTTTTGGTGGAGTCTTTAGGGTTTTTTTATATATAAGATCATGTCATCAATGTGACTATTTTCACTCCTTAATTTTCTATTAGGATGCCTTTTACTTTTTTCTCTTGCCTGATTGCTCTAGCTAGGACTTCCAGTACTATGTTGAAAAGAAGTGGTGAGAGTGGACATTCTTGTCACTGATTTTATAGGAAAAGCTTTCAACTTTTTACTGTTGAGAAAATGTTAGCTGTGGGATTGTCATTTATTGTATTGAGGTATGTTTCCTTTATACCTATTTGTTGAGAGTTTTTATCATGAAAGGGTGTTGAATTTTGTCAGTTGCTTTCTCTGCATCTATTGAGATGATAATATGATTTTTTTCCTTTATTTAGTTAATGAAGTATTATCATATTTACTTATTTGCATATGTGGAACCATCTTTGCATCCCAGGAATAAATCCCACTTGATCATGATGAATGATTCTTTTAATGTGTTCTTGAATTTGGTTTACTAATATTTTGTCAGGAATTTTTACATCTATGTTCATCAGAGATATTGGATTATAATTTTCTTTACTTGTAGTGTCCCAGTCTGGTTTTGGTCTCATATACCAAAACTCAGAAAATGAGTTTTGAAGTATACCCTCTATTTCAATTTTTTTGTGGAGTTTGGTAAAATTCTTTAAAACTCCTTAAATCTTTGGTAAAATTCAGCAGGGATACCATCTGATCCTGGGCTTTTCTTTGTTGGGAGACTTTTTATTACTGATTCAATCTCCTTATTCATTATTGGTCTGTTCAGATTTTCTATTTTTTTTTTTTTTATGATTTAGTCTTCTTAGGTTGTATGTGTCTAGGAATTTATCTGTTTCTTATAGGTTACCCAATTCATTGGTATATAATTGTTTATAGTTTTTTTAAGATTCTTTGTATTTTGGTGGCAACAGTTGTAATGTCTTCTCTTTCATTTCTGACCTTATTTATTTGAGTAGTCTCTTCTAGTAAGCTAGCTAAGGATTTATCAATTTTGTTTATCTTTTCAAAACACCAACTCTTAGTTTTGTTGACTTTTTAAATTTTTTTTCTAGTCTTTATTTCATTTATTTCTGTTCTCTTTTTTGTGATTTCCTTCCTCCAGCTAACTGTGGGCTTAGTTTGTTCTTATTTTTCTAGTTTCTTGAGTTGTAACATTAGATTAGTTATTTGTAATCTTTTTTCTTTTTCGACATAGGTGTTTATTGCTATAAATTTCCCTCTTTGGACTGCTTTTGCTGCATTCCATAAGTTTTTGTGTGTTATCTTTCCATTTGTGTTTGTCTCAAGGTATTTTTTATTTCTGTTTTGCTTTCTTCTGTGACTCATTGGTTGTTTGGGAGCATGTTGTTTGATTTCCACATATTTGTGTATTTTCCAAGATATCTCCTTTTATTGATTTCTAGTTTCATACTATTGTAATCTGAAAAGATACTTGATATTATTTCACTTCTCTTAAATTTGTTAAGATTTGTTTTATGGACTAGCATATGATCTATCCTGGAAAATGTTCCATGTGGATTTGAGAAGAGTGTGTATTTTGTTGCTGTTGGAGGCGATGTTTTTTATATTTCTGTTAGGTCCATTTGGTCTAAAATGTAATTCAAGTCCACTGTTTTTTGATTTTCTTTCTAGATGATCTGTCAATTGTTGAAAGTGGGTATTGAGGTCCCCTATGGTAATAGTATTGCAGTTTATCTTTTCCTTCAGATCATTTAATAACTGCTTTATGTATATAAGTGCTCTGATGTTCGGTGCATATGGATTTACAATAATGTCTTCTTGGTTAATTAACCCCTTTGTCATTATGTAATGGTCTTCTTTGTCCCTTTTTATAGTTTTTGACTTAAAGTCTATTATGTCTGATATACATATAGCCACCTGCTCTCTTTTGGTTTCTATTTGGATGGAATATTTTTTTCCATCCCTTTACTTTCAGTCTGTGTGTGTCCTTACTGCTAAAGTGAGTCTCTTGTATGCAGCATATAATTGGATCATGGGTTTTTTAAAAATTTATTCAGCCACTCTATGTATTTTGTTGGAGAAGTTAATCCATTTACATTCAAAGTAACTATTGATAGGTCAGGACTTGTTACTGCCATATTCTAATTTGTTTTTCTGATTGTTTTATAGGTCCTTTGTTTCTTTCTTCCTCTCTTGCTGCCTTCTTTTGTGGTTTGATGGTTTTCTGTGGTTGTATGCTATGAATCCTTTCATTTTTATATATTGTGCAAATGCTACAAGTTTTTGCTTTGTAGTTACCTTAAGGCCTACACAATGTATTTTATCCTTAAAACAGTTGACTTTAAGCTGATAATAAGTTGCCTTTAATTGCATATGAAACCTCTACCTTCATTCCGTCCCACCTACCTATTGTGATTTTGATGTCAAAATTTACATTTGTTTTTATAACTTGTATTCCTTAACAATTTGTTGTAGCTACAGTTGTTTTTAATAGTTTTGTCTTTTAACTCTCCTACTAGGGATAAATACCCTTATAGTTTTAGAGAATTCTAAGTATGACTATGTATTACTTACCTCATTAATTTTCTTTGCTTTTCTCTTTTTTGTTATTAGTTAGAAGCCTTTTTTCAAGTTAAACACCTCCCTTTATCAATTCCTGTAAAACAGGCCTAGTGGTAGTGAACTCCCTCAGCTTTTGTTTGTCTGGGAAAGTTTTTATTTCTCCCTCATTTCTGAAGGACAGTTTTGCTGGGCACAGTACTGTTGGTTGGCAAGTTTTGTTTTTTTTTTTCCTTCAGCACTTTGAATTTATCATCCCACTGTCCCCTGGCCTATAGGATTTCTGATGAGAAATCCATGGAAAGGCATATTGGGGTTCCCTCGAGTGTGATTCATTTCTTATCTCTCACTGCTGTCAATATTCTTTCTTTGTCTTTGGTTTTTGATAACTTGGTAATGATGTGTTTTTGTGAATTCCTCTTTGGGTTGAATTTGATTGGTGACCTCTTAGCCTCCTGTACCTGGATGTTGTAATCTTTCCCAGATTTGGAAATTTTTCAGCCGTTATTTTCTTAAACATACTTTCTAGGCCTTTCTGTCTCTCTTCTTCCTCGGAAACTCGTATTATGTGATGGTTAGTTCACTTGATGGTGTCTCATAATTCCCATAGGCCTTCTTCATTCTTTTATATTCTTTTCTTATTTTTGCTTTTCTGATTGGATAGTTTCAAATGTCCTGTTTTTGAGCTCATTAATTCTTTCTTCTGCTCAATCAAGTTTACTGTTTCTTGAACAAAAGAAAATTCTACTGAATTTTTCAGTTTGGTTATTATATTCTTTATCTCTAGGATTTCTTATTTTTAATTGTTTCTATCTCTTTGTCAAACTTCTTATGTTGTTTTTGAATGTTTTCTGAATTTCATTTAATTTTCTATCTGTATTTTCTTATAGTTCCCTGAATTTTATTAAGAGGATCATTCTGAATTCTTTATCAGTCATTTCATAGATATCCATTTCTTCTAGGTTCATTACTGAGCTTTATTAATTTATCTTGGTGGTGTTCTATTTCCCTGATCTTTCATAATCCTCTTGTCCTTATGTTGATGCCTATACATTTGAGGAAATGGCCACCTCTTTCTACCTTTGCAGGTATTCTTTGGTGGTCATAGACCTTTACTATTTAGTTTAGTCTGGGATTCTGGATGGGTGAACTGGTAGCAACCTCAGACAGGCAGACCTTGGTGTGAGGTTCTCTTGTTGGGCTGCATCACATCCTGTGCTCTGAGGTCAAAAGTTATGACTTTTACTGACTATGCACCATGGTCCAGCAAAACCACTAGCTGTACTCTGCCATCAGGTGTTGTTGCTGGCTGTGTTCTGTGGTCATCTCTGTTTGGGCACGGTTACATATTTTCTTCCCTGGATGGGTAGTACTGTTGTTTGGAAAATGTAGTTGGGCAGAGCCATGTGATGAGCTCCAAGGCTGGGTGAGGTCTTCGGAGTGTTTGCTCAGCCACATACGGTGGGCACGGCCAGCGTCTATGCTCTAAAGATATGTGTGGACTTGGGCTTCTCTTGGCCTAGGGTAGGCTTTAGCAGAAAACTGAGGTTTGGTGGAGTCACTGTTCTTCATCTGAGGTTGGGCAGAAACAGATGCTCCCTCTGCAAATAATTCATAATAGTTAAAAGATAACCTGCAGTTGTTTTCCAGTCCAGGGAAGACTTAATGTGAGTATGTTGGAACTTAGTTGGGTCACCTCTCCATTGCTAGGGTTGGCAAGGCCAGATACTCCCTCTACAGGTTATTGCTGACCTACAATTGCCTCTCGACCAAGGGAAGATTTAACAAGAGCACTTGGACTACGTGGGGAAGCTGGCTAGAGATTTAAGCCTGGGAAACCCATGGACCATGTTTCCAGCAGTGTGATACTGTTGGCTAGTTTCTCTGATGTGGCTCCTCCATTGGCCAGAATGAATAGCAACCACCAAGATCTGTGCGCTGGTTGCTGAGCCCCAATCCCATTCTTTGTTTCTAACTGGCCGGAAGTGGTCTAGCCCTGACAGTTTCCCCTTAGAAACATTGGAAATTGCCAGTGTTTCCCATGGGACAAGATAGGAGCCAACCTTTTGTGAAGGATCCCTGAATGGTGGGAAGCTAAATGTCTACCTCCAACTCATTGTTCCCACTATAGAAACTGTGGGTCGGCCGGGCGCAGTGGCTCATGCCTGTAATCCTAGCACTCTGGGAGGCCGAGGCGGGTGGATCGCTCAAGGTCAGGAGTTCGAGACCAGCCTGAGCA